TTTCCAGCTTTCTCGCTGATCGGAGCATCAAAGTCGTCATCGACGGAGCATGCTCCGACCTGAAACCTGTGAATGCTGGTGTCCCACAAGGCTGTGTCCTATCCCCGACCCTGTTTATTCTGCATATCAATGATATGTTGCAGCTTAGCAACATTCATTGCTATGCGGACGACAGCACTGGGGATACTTTTTACACTGGCCGGGCAGGTATCTCTCGGGCTGTTGTCGATGAGTACCGGAACAAACTTGTGTCTGAAGTCGAAACTCTTCTACGTGGAGTCTCGGACTGGGGTAGACTAAATCTAGTCCAATTTAACCCCAAGAAGACACAAGTATGCGCGTTTTCCGCTAAAAAAACTCCCTTTGTCGCTACTCCCCTCTTTGAAGACACTCTCCTTAAAGCCTCAGCTAACATCGGAATACTGGGCGTTGACATATCGAATAACGTTCAGTTTCGCGGTCATCTGGAAGGAAAGGCTAAATTAGCCTCCAAAAAGCTTGGTGTGCTCAGCAAGGCGAGACGGTACTTCACTCCGGGCCACCGCTTGCAACTATATAAAGCGCAAATTCGGCCCCATATGGAGTACTGCTCTCACCTCTGGGCGGGAGCTCCCCAGTACCAGCTCCTTCCACTTGACCGTATTCAACGAAGAGCGGTTCGAATCGTCGACGACCAGTCACTTTCCGTGCGGCTTGATCCCTTGGCGTTGCGTAGAGATGTGGGATCTCTCTGCATCTTCTACCGCATTTACCATGGAGAGTGTTCAGAGGAGTTGTTCGGTCTAATACCTGCAGCTGAGTTTCATCATCGGACGTCAAGGCAAAATACAAAATACCATCCGTATCACCTCGACGTCCGTCGTTCCACAACAGAGCGTTTTCTAAGGCAGTTTTTGCCGCGCACCACCACTATGTGGAACCAGCTGCCCACAGAAGTATTTCCGAACCAATTCGACTTAGGGTCCTTCAAGAAAAGAGCGTACCAATTCCTGAAAGGCCGGCAACGCACTTGCGAGCCTTCTGGCATTGTGAGTGTCCATGGGCGGCGGTATCACTTAACATCAGGTGAGCCTCCTGCCCGTTTGCCTCCTATTACAAAAAAAAAAAAAAAAAAAAGATGTTTAAGATAGGTGGCCTTGTTGGCGAGGCCGCACGCGTTCCAATGCAGGAGCCGAAGGCCCCCCATTATCTGCGGCTGCGACCTCGGGTAGGGCCCTTGAGGGCCGATGCCGCTCTCTTGAAGAGCGGGGCTGGGTTATCCCCGGCTTGCACAGCCTGGAGAATGTTGGCGATCGCCGCCAGTGCCTGCTCCATTTGGGGTCGGCGCGCGCGGGACCTGGTGCGCGAGCGCGGAGGCGGTGCCGTTCTAGGTGCTGGTGTAGGTAGTGTGGCGGTGGCTGCGGTGGCGGCGCGGTTGGCGACGTCCGCGGAAACTGCATGAAGTGCGGCAGCGCGGCTCGCCTCCTGCGCGGCAAGCGAGGGTGCGGCGGGGCCACGCCCGCGGCCACCTCGTCTCGTGCGGCGTCGCACCGTGACGAAGCCCTCTTCGTCGACTGCAGGCGCGGCGCCGGACGCCAAGGGGGCGACCGCGGGCGGCGCGCCCATGGGCGGATGTTGAGCATGGATTTGAACGTTCCGGCGTTGTTGGCGCAAGGGTCGAGACAGCGCCGTTCGGGCAAACGTGCCCGCGCGCCGATTCTGCTCCTCCTCCTTGCGCACCGGGCAAGACGAGTGGCATGCGGGGTGAGGCCCCCGCAGTTGGCGCAGGTCGCCGGCACTTCCCTCGGCCTGGTGCAGTCAGCCGCGCGATGCTCCCCCGCGCAGCGAACGCACGCCATTCGCCTATGACAATTCAACGACGAGTGCCTGAAAGACTGGCAGCGATGGCATTGCGCGGGACCCTTTTTCCCGCGCCAGGCTTCAATGGTGACCCCCGTCATATACAACAGCTCGGTAATGTTGTATATGGCAGGGGTGATGTCCGGAGTGCGCCGCATGACTGCAAGAAAAATGCAGCCGGGTCGGCCTTTCCTGGCCCGGATTGGGCGGATATAGTCGGGCTCGTATCCGAGGTCCCGTAGCGCCTGGGCCAGCTCCTCGGGGTCGGTGGTGACGGGTATACCCCGAATCGCCACCTTGAGGTCCTGTTCCGCTGGTAGTGAGTAGGAGAACCAGGAGACCCGGCGGTCCTCCCTCTCCAGGTCCGAGAGGTACCGCTGGACCACCCAGTATTCGTCAGCAGATTCGGGGCATATGCGGTATCCCTTTCCGTACGCCCTGGCGTTGGCCGTCCGTCCCAACAGCTGACTAATCCTCCCCAAATGATGTACGTAGTTGGGGAGGCACTCTATGACTATCGGTGGGTAATCCGACCTCTTTGGGGCCGCAGGAGCTCTAGGGGGCTGCGCCTGTACTGACGGGAGCGGCAGCGGGTCCCGGTAGTGAGGCGTCAATATCAATATCAGATGGTGCGGCGGGCGGTGGAACGGCGCCAGGCGGCTGAGCCGATGGCCCTCCCATATCGAGGCGGCGACCTGGCGCCAGCCGAGGGTCGCCAGGGAAGCCCGACGCACTTTTAGTATTAAAGGATGCGCATGGGCGCTTTGCCGCGGACTCACCCTCCGAGCCAGGGTCCACGGCTGAAAAGGGGCGGCGCACGGGGGTGACCGGGGTGCGCGCTGGCAGACGACACTCTTCGCGGACCATATCAGCTCCAGTTGGCACACTACACGATCCGTTGTTACGACATGGTCCCGCCACGCACTGCGGGTCTAACGAGTCTTCCAGTTCACAGTACATACCTGGGTATACGAAAATCTATATTTATTTCAACACGAAACACATAACTATTCTTAAAACACACGGTATTTGTTCAATGAAGTGTGAATTCTTAATCATTCAATGAGTACTGTTTGTATTATAAGTACAGTGGAACCCGCTTAATGCCAGCCAGACTCTGCAACTTGAGACGTTTTCATATATTTTGTAACGCTTAATACGATTCTTTATACCGTTTAATACGCCAACAACACGTACAAATTAAAAAAAATACCTGTGTCGAAAGCAGAGGAACCTGTGACACTGCGGGGTTCTACTGAACATTCTTCCATTGATGACAATGTCCGTATGAAATTGAATGACTTGAAGATCTTATTGAGAATGTAAATCACAAAAGAGGCCCTAAGTAATAATTATGAAAACGACGGCGAGTCAACTCCGATATTGTCAAACGCCCAAGATTTACCAGCTCTTCATGATTTAAGACGCTATATAGGTTCTTTGAATAAAAGCGAAAACGCAAAAGTAAATTTATGATTTTTTATTGATAAAAGCTTGCCAACGCTCGGCACACTGATGTGGTAAAAGAACAAAAAAATACAATTTTTAATGTCTCTTATAGGCAAACATGACGTACACGAAGAGATAATATAAATATTAAACAATACAATTAAAATTACAAAAACTAAACGAAAATCGATTTTAAAGTGTGAGGTGATGAAAATCATCTAAATGTTAATGCATCAAAATCTGTCAAACCGATCAAGTTAATTTAAATAACGTAATTATAATTACACTATTAATATAATTTATAATATTAAGGTATAATGTAAAATACATAATAATAAGAAGTACTTTTTATTTTCCATATCTTACTTTTTGGTTGGGTCTCTGAGAAATCAGGTTTTACTGTATCTAATACCGCGTACTCTCGCAGCTTAATAGTTCAACTCTTGCTTTAAGATAACCCCATCGAAAAAATAATTAACGACATCGTGTAATGCTGTTGTTACGTGTCTTGTTAATTTAGTTTAATATTATTTGGTCATTTTCAGGTTGCGTCGTGATCACGTTTGCACAAAGTGAAGCAGCAACGCCCCTCGGCCCGTCAGATCGCCTGTCGAGGCCTATCTCGCTTAAACAGCTAGTTGGACTTAGTTACCGCACTTGTGTTGGTGAGTATACGTCGTATATGTCGTATTGTTTTATCAAACGGTTGCCTGAAGGACCCTTTTACGTATTGTAAAAAATCACTTTTGTAAAGAACCCATCGGGTACCTAATCCGAATAAGAATAACTAGGTATGAACTAAAATTTATAGTTATATTTTATTTTCACTGTAATTGTCATACATTTTAGAATATCGTAACGTTATCGTTTGATGTAATTTTAATAAATAATTAAAACTTTTGAGTAATGTGTGCCTACGTCATAATAGTTCCTAAAGGGTTTTCAGCGTAGTCAGAAAAACTCAAGTTAAAAGTGAGAAAGAAAGCGAGTGTCTCGGGCATGTTCTTAAATGAAAACTGTCGAACAAATAAAATTATATCGGCTCAGACATAAAAGTCAAAGTCAAAAATCATTTATTCATGTAGGTAACACAATGTACACTTATGAACGTCAAAAAAGAAATATACATTAAATGCTTCTAATTTTACATTTACTGCTAGTTCTCAAATCAAGGGCGTAGAACGGAAGAGAAGAACTGGTATGTGTCCCACTTATTTATTTTACGCGTCCAAGTTAATGCTTTCTAGACAATAGACGTAATCCTAAAATTCGCATTGAAGCGAAGAATTCACAAGTGTTACTCCGTTTATTAATCATACAAGTATGCGTTTTTTATGACACTGTCAGCTAAATTAGATGTTTATAATCGAGACACGTAGCTTGAGGCTCTGCTCAGGGCCATCATTATGATGGATGACCAGTTATTACGTCAGCAATCAGTGCAGAGTCGACGACCTGTCCATAGTAGTCCTTAAGTGATATCGATTGAGGTGTTAAGCAATGCATGCCGCGGTCAGGAAGTTAAGGGGTGCCGTTCCTGTATAATTTGTATGACGTCAAATACGTTCTTATTATAATTAGTTAAATAGAAATCTTATGGCTAATTATTACTCTTCTAACTTACATTGTAAAAGTACTGTATGGGATTCAATAAATAATGCATGAGATTGTTGTCATTTTCTAACCTCTTAGATTTAAACCGATATCGACTATTATATAAAAACTGACCATAGTTTCTTGAGCTCTGGGGTGTTAAAGATTTCTTGTACGAGACGGGCACCGTATAATGGTGGGTTGGAGTACATAACACGAATCATAATTTTCACTTGAGACATCACTTTAGCTGCTGATCCTTCGTCACCGCAGAGGAAGGTCAAAGGTCGTGCACCGGCACGCTCTCCGTACAATCCTGGAAAATTTAAATCAATAAATATTATGTGTATTCATTTACTAGCTGTCCCTTCGCATGGCTTTATTTTTATTAGTGTGTTTTCTTTAATATTTATATACAAATTAGGTCCTTACATATGAAATTGGCGTATTTCGTACTAGCCACTTAAATCACGATGTTAAGGAATTCCAAATTCAAATTTGTACAGCTATTTACTCATGTATTTGTGCTTCGATGACCGTCATTCATTTGTTTTTTTCTTGTTTTTTTCTGTTTGCGTCACTCATTTTACAAAATGGAAAACTTAAAGTATCGCATTATTTACGAGTACGAGTTCCGCCGTGGCACTAGTGCTGCGAAAACGACTCGAAGGGTGAATGATGTGTATGGCGGTCAAGTTGCAAAAGAAAACACAGTTCGTTTTTGGTTCCAACGTTTTCGTTCTGGAAATTTCGACCTGCAGAACAAGCCCCGTGGACGGCCTGAGACCCAAGTTGATAATGAAGTATTGAAGGCTATTGTGGAAGCGGATCCATCGCAAACCACGTCCGAGTTAGCTGCAGGCTGCGGTGCTTTGTTATGTTCCTACCTAATAATGATTTTACATTTGTTTTATGTATCGAATAAACATATTGGCAGATCCATGCGACTTCTTCGATACGCAAAGAGTTGTGTGTCGCGAAATCGCGAGTTAGTCGATTCAGTAAGTTACATAGTTACACAGCTACGCCTGATTTATTTATTTATTTATTTATTTTGTAAACCTACAGCTAACATAAATTATATACAATAACAAACAGTTACATTAAAAATATAGCCAAATATGGAATACATAATAATACATTTAACTACAAAATGGTTCAAGAATTTATAAAAGGAAACAAACAAATAAAAACTATTCAATACGTTTATCTAAGTGGTACCTAATTTGGTTGTGTTGTATGATGGTGTAAAAGTGAGGGTAAGTACGTGAAGGTGTGTATGTGGGGTATGCTCACGATGCAGGTGATTTTGCGCTATGGATATTCTTAATACTTCTTTTAATCATATTCCGCGACAGCTTAAACAGGTCAAGGCTTAAATATTGGTCGTTGTATGTCCGGGCTGCGCGATACAAAACTGAGTTCCTTGCATAGTTAGTGTTAATGTGAGGAACATGGAACAAAGCACGATTACGAGTCTGGTAGGCAGGAACAAGGAAGGGCAATTTTTCTAGAAGGGAGCTACAATTAATTTTATTTGAGATGATGTCATGTAGTAGCAATAAATCATATTGTTTTCGTCGAGAGTCTAAAGTATTAATTTTAAAATGTTCACACGCGTCATTATATGTATTAAACTTATTGTAGGTCTTATAGGAGATAAATTTTATGAAGTCTTTTCAATCAATTTTTTCTTTGTGTACAGTGTAACTAGGTGACCAAACCGAGCAACCATATTCGAGAATACTTCTTACGTATGTATAGTATAGCACTTTCATACAGTCGACATCATGAAAATGTTCACTAACACGTCTTACAAAACCAAGCTGCTTATAGGCCTTGTCAACTATTGTGTCAATATGGTTATTATACGTCATTTTATAGTCTAACCATATACCTAAGTCACGAACACAATCTACTTCTTTTACAGATTTGTTATTAATATGATAGCTAAAGTTAATTTTGTTTTTTTTTCTGGTGAATGTTATTTTGACACATTTGGAAGTATTAACCGATATTCGATTTTGTCTATAATAATTGGAAAGGTTATTTAGGTCGGCCTGAATTTTGTGACAGTCTCCTTCTTTGTTTATTTTTAAATATATCTTTTTATCATCAGCGAACATAAGGTAATTTGAATCTTTAATGGTACTATTTATGTCATAAAGATATGCATTGTATAACAGGGGACCCAATATAGATCCTTGAGGAACTCCAGAACTTATAAGAACAAAGTCACTTCTAGCACTGCCAACCGCAACCGTCTGTCTACGATTTGTTATATATGAACAAAACCAGCGATGAAGGTCACCACGTATCCCTAGAAGTTGGAGCTTATGTAATAGGATGGTGTGATCCACTCTGTCGAAAGCCTTCTCAAAGTCTGTGTAAATTACATCAACCTGTGCACCACCATCCATACTTTGCAGTACATAGTTCGTAAACACGGTTAAGTTGGTTATCGTAGAACGTTTATTGATAAAACCATGCTGTTCATCGGGAAGTGAATTACTTATTATATTGTGGATGGCTTTATAAATTATCTTTTCAAAGACTTTACTGAAAGTATTAAGTATCGATATTGGTCGATAATTTTCAATACTCAACCGCGAGCCACTCTTATGAATAGGTATTATTTTAGCTATCTTCCATACATCAGGATAAATGCCAAATGTGTTAACGGATAAGTTCTGTATTATGTACAGTGGTTTTGTAATAGCTTGTGCACATTTTTTGATAAAAATAGGTGGTATACCGTCATACCCAGCTCCTTTTTCCGCATTTAATGAATTTAGTATCTTTAATATATCAAATTTGGTTATATTTAGTTTACATATAATGTTGTCGGTTACTTCCGTATTAGTCTGCAGAATTTCATGGTATGAAGGTGCTGCTTGTTGAAATACGCTCTCAAAGAAAGTACTGAATCCCGTGCATGCTTCCGATTCGTTATTATATATATTGCTTCCTAATTGTAATCTATTTGGATAGCCAGTGTTATTAATTCGTAAGGTTTTTAGATATGACCAGATTTTCTTTGGATCTTTCTTTAACGATGTTTGTATTTTTTGCATATATAACTTAAAACATTTTTTTTGGACTGCCTTCTGTCTTGAACGAAGTAAGGAAAACTCATCGTAATCTCGTGGGTTTCCTCTTGCTTTCCATCGAGAGTGAGCGGTTCGTTTGTCGCGTATTATGTGTATGAGCGCCTTAGTATACCAGACCGGGTATTTGTTATGAGCATAAAAGGTAGTCTTAGGCACATACTGATCAATTCCACGGTGGAGGATTGAATAAAATTTCTGCACAATTATGTCAATGGTGTCGCCTCGATTCACACGTTTTCATGTCATTTCCACATTAGTATATCTAATGTCTTACATTTTTCAAAATTGTTTGATTGTCTCCGTTTTAATATGTGTGAGTGATGTTTGAGAGCCTAAATAAAATATCAATAATTTTTTATATGTATATTGTTGTATATGAGATAAATATGATAGAAAGATTCGTTGGTCTATTGTTTAGTACGTAATGCTTGTTTTAAAACCAATATTTATCAGTCTTCGTAAACTTCGAATAGATGGTATTATACACAAATATTATTCATAAAAACTTTTATGAGTTAAATTGAAAGTAATAATATAGCTATTAATTAACGCTGTGTCAAATGTTAATCTTTTTCCACCTATAAAAAGCTTATTGCAGATTGTAATACAAAGAAAAAAAGATAGGTGTGGTCCATTAGCTAAGTAAACGATCGTTCCACGACGAAATAACGTAATACACTGTGCACAATAATTACTAAACAATATTTGCCAGCCGGCAGCCCTATCAACGTAGATAACTTTTTTTACACATTAGAGCTAAGTTCAGTATCTCATTAGTGATTGAGTTTGAAACAGCGGTTTCCCTCACACATGGTACCGGTTCTATTGGCAGATCCACCTCCTCAGATTAGCGTATCCGCTGTATGGTGTTTCTGATGTTGTTTAGCACCGAACATTTCTTGAGATTCTACGCAATGTCGGCTTAGTATAATCAATAAACATTGACGGAAATTACCCTGTCTGAATTAAGCCCACAACAAAAGAAAGATTTCGGTATTATTTGGGCTCTTTATACCTACGTCAATTATATTTTTTATTTTAGATTTTATTTATAAAGACGGTATGAAAAAGGGGTATATAGCTTAATATGTGGCTTAAAATAGCGTTATAGAGTAAAATAACTTGTATTTAATAATAAAATCGATCATTAAAAAATATTGATAATAATGATAATCACGTGACACAAGACAGTCGCAAATTAGTCGAATCGACGGTGACGCACCATGCCCGTAAATAATATATTAACGCCTATCTTATCATAATATACATTAGAATATTTGTTACATTTACGAATGACAATTACTACAAAAACAATTTGAACCTTTGTTTACGTATTTAGTGGCATGTGTCATATCGACTGATGCGACCCTATCTTGTCCAGATATGCGATTTGGCTGGTTCTTGAAATTATGTTCAATTTGAATTCTTAAATCCTTAACAGAATTAAAAAACCAATTTGTGCAAGTTCTTTAGACAATAAATCAACTGAAATGGTTTTTAAAATCTTGACACATATAGTTAAATATGCATATAAGCAATGGTGTAATCGAACACACCTTCAATTAGTCTAGATGCCACGACAGCGACGACGAGGAAATACCGAAGCTGAGCCTGACGATTGTGCCTCAACTTCATGGGGCTCAGATGATGACAGGATATAATATATATGTTCACTATGCATATATAAAATTTTTAATATATACTCAGCGTTATTCACGTGGAAGTAACTCATTATCTTTAAATAGTTATTGAATGTACTGTAGCATTTCTTTTTTTTTTTAAATATATTTTCTAGCTAATTCCTCGACTATATTGTCGTCTTTATTCTATATTGGTATTTAATAACTTATGTATATCTAAAGTAAATAGCATTGGTAACTAGGATGATTAGGCACTACTTGATTCTTTTAACAACTTTTTCTATCGTATTTATAGCAAATTTTAAAAAGATCTCTTAACCTATTGTTCAACATTATTTCTTTTAAGTTCGCCTCTGGTTTCATTCCCACTTGGTCAATGTTTTACCTGTCGTAGCGCATACATTAAACAGTCAGCCAGCACTTTGTCTAACTCTGAACCTGTGAAGGTACGACAAGAATCCACCGTGACCTGGCAACATCTGTGTAATCAATCCCGTTGGTTTTATTTGTTTAATAATTGAATAGGCCGAAACATTTGGAAGGGATAACTGAAACACTGGCCAGTGTTTCCTTCCCACCAATTCGTCTACTCTACTTCCGTCCGTATATAGCTTTACTGGTGGTGCAATTTGATATCAGGTTCTTTGGAGGGATGAGTAATACGTATCAACGATACTCTTTGCTCCAGGTCGCCTTCCAATACAGACTGAAATAACCCTCACTTTGCTTCGTATAACACAGCTGCCTCTTGGATTCTAAGATCTAGGGGCAGTAGTCCGGCGAGGATCAAGCTGGCATTCAGTGAAACGGTTCAGTAACCTCTACAGAGCTTTCACGCGAAGCCTCGTTGCACTGAATTTAATTGCTTCCTAATTCCTAGCTTTTTAGTGGCTGGAGCCCAAACTGCTGTCGGATATAGGATTATGGGCTCGATGACTGCCGTATAAATAATATGTACATAACGCTGTAAACACCAGCCTTTTTAATGAGCTACGAACCGCTTTGTAAAAGTAAAAGCTGTGCTGATTGCCGATTTCTTTTTAAAGTGTTCAAAAATTGATTTATGTTTCGGTAACGAGTTATTAATCTTCTGTTGTGAAAAATGAAAAATGAATGTGTATTCAGATTTCGGATATTATCTTAATAATAAACTTTATGTTATAAGAACCTCACCTTCCGTGTTTGCGAATTTGCACCTCTTTCTCGCTTCAATTATTATTGAGTTGAATCAATCTGTTTTCATGAATATGTTAAATTTGAAAAAAAAAAAAACATACATATTCCTTCCTTTTAGATGATCTTCACCCAGATTTTGAGCAGAATTTCATGAAACCTTTTAATAAAACAGTATTTTGACCGGATTGAAGTTATGTATTATTATAAATTTACAACTATTTAACATAATTTTAAATTTATCCGACGTTTCGCGTACTTTACAGCGTGCGTGGTCACGGTGACTGAAGACAAAAGATGTTGAATGTCAAAAAGTATCACAGCTGCAGAGAAAGTTGCATTATCTGTATTTATTTCCCCGGAGTTGGTATCGACTAAAAGATGGAGGGTTTTGGCAAAAATGGCTTACGGTGTCCTCTATTTTCGCGGATTGTGTTTCTTTTTGAGATTTTAATTTGGATATTATTGGATCCCAGGTGTTTGACAATTTTAGGCCGTCTTCTCTATTGAAATTTAAATGTGCTAGCACATTTAATTTTATTGATATTTTAGCGAGTAAATTAGTATTTTTTTTTAAATGAAAATTAGACTATGGGAAATATGTTGTATAAAAAATTGCATACTGATGATATTGGGGGGAATTTTCAAAATGTGACTGTTACGTTTTTCAAAAATTGAACATACCTTTACAGCAATATGATCGAATTTGTCAAAATTTATTCCTGAACTAATCCAATTGCCGAACATTTCGTCTACATTCTCTGTGGGGTCTGGTGGTATGTAGGTTACAGGCTAAGGCTCAGGCTTCATGACTTCTCCATCACCTTCATATGTAACCAAAATAAGCTTATATTAAGACAAGGTTGCATTATTAAAAAAACGTTTTAGTAAATAATTTATTGTATAAAATTAATATACATAAAAATTGCTATAACACCACGAACATTTGAATTATCACAGCTCCGTTTCACGTTGTCTTAACAAATGTTCTTGTTATTTTTCTACTTTAGGACGTTACGAGTAGAAGACATTTAAATTTTATTTTTAAATATGGAAGACAATAATTGTACTGTCACAGAGTAGATAGAGAACAAGGGTATAGAAACTACACATTTAAGAGGCGCGTAAATTAAATTGGGTCATAGAGTACAAAGAGATTATGTCAATGGATGGATACGCATTGTATAGCCTGTGTGACCTTGGTGCTACTGCGATATATTATGAAGAGAATTCAATGTATTCATAGATATTTTTCTCTATAATTCTATTTCAACATACAAATATACAGTATTTATAATTAACTACCTAGTAATAATAATAATGGTTAATTTGTCGAATCACGAGTTATATGGCGGTTGTTGTAGATATGTTCAGATATATGTTAAATGAAACTCTTTGTTTGAAGCTCAAACTCAAACTCAAAATATCTTTATTCAAGTGGGTAACCAAGTACACTTTTGAATTGTCAAGTTAAATTAATTGTAAATTGACATTTACTACCAGTTCGCAAGTCAAGGGCGTAGAGCGGGTAAGAAGAACTGGCAAGAAACTTTCCGCCACACTTTTTAATCGCCAAGTATTGTCATACAAATTGTTTGAACTGGAGCAAATCAATCCCAAGGATTAGGATCTTTTAAGTATTCCTCAAATTTATAAAAAGCTATATTGATTAATTTCCGTTTAACCAGGGCTTTGAATTTATTTAGTGACAATTCTCTAATTTCGCTTGGGAGTTTGTTGTAAAAACGAATACAATTTTGCATATAAGGAGTGGTTTATCTTTTGGAGCCTGGTTGGTCGTACACTCAAATTAGTTCTATTACGCGTATCATACTGGCGAAAGTCACCATTTGTTTTAAAATCGTTTATATTTTTTTGGACATATAACAAGGCTTCAAGAATATATTGACCAGATAGTGTCATAATACTTAATTCCTTAAACCTATTCCGTACCGACTCCCTCGGAGAAACACAGCAAATACCCCGAACAGCCCGCTCTCTACTCTGATGGGGCAGTCCAAATCGCCTTCACAGATTTTATCGATTCCCGTCCGTCTGGTTTTTTAGTAAAGGGATCAATGAACTACCTATGAGATGGCAAAAGTGCATAGAAAACAATGGTTCATACTTTGATTAATCAAATATATTATATTTAAAAATATTCGACTTTTTGTTCCTCCCATACAAAACGCCAATTATTTGGTGATTACGTCAACAGTAATTAATTACTTTTTTACACATATTACCCACACATTGTCTATGCTTGAAAACGAAATGCATTTTGGAGGATTCCTACAAAAATTAAAACGTTTATGTAAATCATTTCCATCACTTTTGAGAGCTTTGCTTACTTTTGCTGACAAGAGGAAGGGGAATTTCGGTTAAAAAACAGTTGCACAGAATGAGACCTCCCTTAGTTCAAAGGGGGTTAATACGCTATAGTATCTAGTACTTAAATAAAACCCTCTGTAAAGGTTTCGAGAAAGCATTCTTACTTTATGAACACAAACTTTAATATTACCTTATTAGGAACGCAGAAAGTTTACTATGTAAATAACGGTTTAACAACATTAATTCTACCGAAGCATTACATTTTCCCGAAAATTTCTTTAAAATTATTAGCTATTCCGTTATGAAGCAATTTATGCTAACACTTTATCAATCAATTTCAAACTGAACTTTTATTCAATACAGGCATTTAAAAAACACAATCTCTGAATTTCGTATATCAAAAGTCAAAATCATTAATTCATTTAGGTAACACAATGTACACTTATAAACGTCAATAAACCAATCAAGGCCCCCGAGACTCCTGCATAATCAGTATCATCACATTCGGGTTATGGACTGTAGCATCCAACCCTACAATGTAAATACATAATTATGTAGGAATAGAGAAAATTATAATAATAGCAAATTGTTAACACAGCAAGGTTGCTAAAACGAGTCGGCGAAAGGTCTCTATGGAGTTGCTGAAAATGTTTGATTTTACAATTAGCTTTTTTGCTGTCATATGACTTTGAGCGTGTTTAAAATATGTTCCTTAAAAGCATTAAGAACATTATATTATAAAACATGAGATCTGAATAGAACCGGTGGCTGTAAATAAATATTACTTTGAAAGATTGAAATAAGGCATGAACCGTAAGAGCCCATTACTCAGGTATTTTTTCAAGCCTGTAGTAACTCTGTAATCACAGAGATTGACTGGGTTGACGCAAGATGAATCTACATAGAGGTTTTATATAAATACAAACAATAATATATTTATTTATAAGGGTAAATACCAGGGAAATTGTCAATATTGTGATTGCAAAGTGCTCGGGCGCCGAGAAGATCTAATAAGAGTCTGTTAGTCTGTGTTTAACTGCTCTTTACGGCTCATTAAAAGTAGAATGATACTCTAAGTAAATAGATACTCCAGGACAAAATTACAAAAATACTTGAACTCTCAGGAAACATAAGGCGCTACGGATATTGTTCAAGTTTTTCGATCATCAGAAAATTCAATATCCGTGCTTATTAATTTAATTTAAACAATGTTTATTTTTATATAGAATTTTTCTTTACAGACTGATGTCTTTTTTCAATGAAAGAAAATTCGTTATGCAACCGAAACGATAACTATGCATAACCTACTAAAAACCTACGGTGTAACATAGATGGTGGGATAGCGGAGCATTTTTGCGTGATCCTTCCCTATTGCGATTTAAAAGCGACGGCATTTATGCATTTTCAGATATCTTCTGTCGAGAAATGGAGGTGAGCTTAGAAGGCTAACTAGTATCTAAAGAAAACATATTAATGTTACAAATGCCTTTC